ACCGGCTGACTGTTTGACTTTTGCGACAGTGCTGAGTTGCTTGTGGCCACTAGGGGCGCTAAACGTGAAAGTTGCAGGTCTAGCGCCCCTAGTGGCCAAGAGTTACACGGTGTGCCTTTAAGTTGGCTCTAGGCCTTAAAGGTGGAATAAAGGATTCCGGTTAGCTTAGTATCAGCATCCAAATAGCACCAAGTCAAAACCACTCCCTCTCCCCCCTGCCCTCCACCAAACTGCAGGGGGTTTGTTACCTCCCTCACCCTCGCTGAGCTGGGCCGTAACAAGAATCTAGATTTATCATTATTTGCAGTGTACTGTTTTTGTTGAACCAATGTGGTTTTAAAGGGGACATATCATGAAAAATCCACTTTTTGTGCCTTAAATGCCTTTTAGCCTCTAGGAGTGCTAAAAAGTTGAAATCAGTCTCTTCATGGGTTGCAGAGAACACTTTACATTCTGTTTTGGTAAGATTTTTCAACCCGTTCTGATTTTGCTCTTCTCTATTACGTTTTGTAAACTATTACGTCACAGTATTTGCAGCGGGACTGCTAAATAAGGGCATGGGCGTCTGGCTAATCGATTGGGCCAAGCCGCCATTTCTGCATATCGCTGCGAATTTGTAGTCCAAGCTCAAGGATGCCAGCAAGTAAGTCCAAATGTTCCGTTATTGGGTGTCATAACCCACACACTTCCTCACACCGCCTCCCAGCATCAGAACCTTTGCGAACTACTTGGTTGCTTTTTGTTTTTCACGGGCATTTACCCGCATCTGTGGGTAAAGTCATTTTTGTTTGTGCAAAGCACTTCAATGATGACTGCTTCAGCAATCTCCGCCAGTATCAGGAAGGATTTGCCGAAAGACTACGTCTGATTGAGGGGTCAGTTCCTTCCATCTACGGAGACGACGGACACAGCACTCCGGTAAGCTAAAATGACAACAAACTGTATTTTAGATCTATGAGACTCCCTGGTAATGACGCTGTTAGTATTCTCTGTAGTTGCTGGCATCTTTACTGCAAGCTATAGTGTACTCTTTGTGTATAAGATCCCTGAGAAAACGTGTAAGTAGTACGGGAATGTCTTTTACTTTGTTTTGGCCGTTATTGCCTCGCAGAAGACTTTGCGAATGCTTTCAATGGACCGCTAGCTTGGCGCTATCGCTAGCGCCAAGCTAGCGATCTCAGCGGCCTTAGCGTTAGCTTCCTTGCTTGTGACCCAGATTAAAGTCTTGTTGCTCACAACAAATAATTGTGGTGATGGCTAACTCGTGTTGGAGCGTATGATTACGTGGTATCTGGGATGTTGAGTGTGGTTAAGTATTGTCTCTGACATCAAGGATTAGCATATGTTGTAAGTCACTCTTTGCATATGCTATTACCATGCATCTATAATAACAACTCTGCTTGTTCGTAACACACGGTGGTTATGGTGTAGAATTGCCTTTTTCTTCACGGACTAGTGAGCAGTAACCTTCTTTGGCAGTATAATATTATATATTAGTGTGTAGTGTTGTGCTGTGCTTGTTACATAGTGAAGTTTCACAGGTCATGTGAGTTCTGCTGTTTTGCACTTTGCCGAAATCGTACTTGTTTTTATTATTTGTCTTGTTTGTGTGCTGTTGTAACAAGATAGATAATCGACTTTTGTTAAATTTAGAGGCCTAAACCACTGACGCAGAAGCAGTCATTTGCTGACAAAGGCTGTCAAACAAACCCCGAGATGTGCTCAGTTGGAACACAGCTTTCCATGAAAACTCTCCAACCCCATGTAAAAAGTACAGGTTAGTATAATGGTTTAACAGCCACGTAGTAAATTTTACAAAGAACTACATTAAGCCAGCTATTGTGCAAGTGTTCTTAATGAAACATTTATTTTGCTCAAAGGCACACTGGCAACACCAAAGTGCTCAGATGTTGGAGTTGGCACGACTACCTTGGCTGAGAAGAATGCTTTCCAGTCCTCCACACCAGTAAAGCGACGCCACTTGCCTGATATTGAGGACATATCACCAATAAAGAGACCCCGTACAACAGTGGGTGATGAGTCTTTAGAAGGCAGCTCTATTATGGACATACAAAGCCCACATGATTCTACATATGACCCTGAAGACTCCATAGGTGCTATGCCAGAGGACACTGGACACTTGTAAGCAAAGAAATACCAGTTAATATTTCATACAGATATATAAATTAAGTCATTTGTATTTTAATGTTTGCATGTATGTGTGTTTTTATTTTTACTATAGCATGGATCCTTCAACACCAGCTTACAAAATGTCCACTTATATTGTTTATGAAAAATGCCTTTTGGAGCTTTTTGAGGTGTGCCCTGTGTGTGTCAAGGGTGCGAACCAGAACTGTCGGCACCTTTCTTTGTGTAGCTCTATGGCACCCGTACTCAAATCTCAATATATGAGACTGCAATATAAGATCTCAACGCTAGAGGCACTAGAAATTACACAGTGTACCTTTAAATGTGTCTATCTGCTTTTGTACATAATGAAATTAGTTTGGCATAAAATTCTATTAAAAGGAGGCTCTTGAAACCAAAGTGAGCATATTGATTATTTTTAGGGAGGCACCGATGCATTGGCTTAACATCGGTATCAGCCAATGTTTGCCTTGTCAACTACCATCGGCCATCGGTAAATGAAAATTACATTCGCCGATGGAAGTTGGTGCATCCCTAAATATTTGATGGTGTCATGAAGATAACTTAAGTAGTTTGAAATGACTACTCTTCAGCTGGAAACAATGGAAAATGTATAGACAACAAGCACCAATGCTCCATCACATTGTCATGCACCATCTGTGAGAGCACTATAGGGGCACCACAAGAACTAAAGAGGTCAGAGAGTCATCTAGAGGCATAAAACAATTCACCATAACAGATATATGAAGCCGCAAACACATCCCAACTCTCAGACCTCATATGAAACACAATTACTCCAGTGTTCCCCTCTGTGAAGTGGCTCAGGTCATGTTGGTACAATACGCCGTCCAGCCTACATTAGAAAGGACCAGGTTCACCACTCTTACAGCTATTGACTGCAAATGGATTGACAATTCAAACCCACTAGCTCAATACGGAAGAGCTCATGGATGACATTTTTGACATCCATGATTTGCAAACCCTAACTTCAATCGTACTTCAGATATCAAAGTTATTTTAAATAGATTTTTCCCAGTAAGTGAATATAACTCATTTATTGCTAGTTTATTTAAAGCTTGGCGATATCACTCAAGTTTTTATTTGAATTGAACTCTCTCTGTTCAAGTAAGCCTCACTTTTGACATTTTGACGTGTAGAGTCTTAAATGAGACAGGTATATCAATGGCAGGGTGGCCCGGTGGCTGAGTGGGTAGCACGTTCGCCTCTTAACTAACTATAAGGTTGTAAGTACGAATCCCGGTCGGAGCACAAGTTGATATTTAATCTTTATCGCAATCACTTGAGTTACTTGGTAATATTGAGTAAAGGATTTACTCGAGGAATTCAAGTGAAGTTAATATGCAATTTATTTCCAAGGTTTTTTCAAGTAAACTTTACTTGTCAGGGTTTACAATGATAGCTCAGGAACCGTTTGATCTGGGCCTAAAACATTTGTGGTTCAGTGCCCTCTGTTGTCCTGGTGTTTTTTCTTGTTGTCTTTGTAAATCCAGATATGAGGAGATATGAGCGGTGTAAGGATTAACCAATGAGATGCCTTCATTCACGAAGGAAACTCCAGCTTGCCTTAGCAACCATCTTGGCAACAAATCTACCCCTGTTATGGCGTAAAGCTACCTCCATAAGAACAAATGCTCATATAAAGATGTTGTCCCCAGTTAGCTTATAACCGGCTTATTCCGCTTTCAGCAAACACTATGGATATCAGCACTCGGCCAGTCCACTCCAAATAAACAGTCTATGCTTACAGCGTACATATTTATCGAATATACAGTATATGATGGCGAAAGAGGATGTACAGTAAATTATATATCTCTCCATTGTACCCGTAGGTTTTAATAAAACATATTCCCCTTAAAGTGTTAAAGTAAGTGCTTTTTTTTTGTCCTTTAACATGACCATGAGACTCTTTTACTTCGTCATGTTATGTTTTGAATGTGAAACAATACATTCAGTAGACATTATTCAATTCAATTCAACTTTATTCCGGACTCATAGTCCAATAAAATAAAATAAAAATAAAGGACAAGACAAACAATTAAAATGGCATTTTACAATCATGCTAATGTCTCCACAAGTCAGATTGATACCGTGTCGCACACATAAAGCTGTACATCAAAGTTCGTAGCACGGCCTGTAAAGTGTTCACTCTGGCATTAACAAACATTTCTGTGGCACTTGACCATCTCAGCTTTTTCAAAAGCACACGCAAAGCATCATTATAGGCCACCTGGAGCTTACGCATGCTGGCTTTCTTATAATAGTATAGTGTGACTGGGGTAAATAATGCTATCGGCCTGCCTCATTGCTATGCTACCACCAGGGAGAGGGGTACCATTTTTTTGATTTAATTAACCTTCTAAAAAGAAGATTAGAGGACTTGAACTTTGAGATCTCAAAAGGAAAGAATACATAGTACAAGTTTAGAGCCCAAATGCTATTCTCCAACTGTAGACCCTGTGCATACTGATCTTCTTGTAAAGTTCATAAAATAGGCATTAAAATGGACACTACATTGACCAGATTCCAAATAAAAATGATTCGATCTTTGTAATCACTCCAAACATCATCAAATCATCGCTCAGTCTTTCATAATTCTCTAACACACATTGTACATTATGTTCGTATTATGGGTGCACACCAAATTCCGGTGGGCAAACTGGAGTGTCTGCAAGAAATCACAAAACCATTTTTTCCACCCCATATTTATATAATTTATAGAGTACAACCGTTGTCTTTTTGGTCCCATGTCTTGTCTCACCTCACCTGATTCACGTAAGCGCTTATACCTGCTCTCATCCCAGCACCCTGTCTCCCACTGTTCCCCTTCACTCCTACGACACCTTGCTGTCCAACTCTGTCTCCTTCACATTCACTTCCTGTATGTCCCAGTCCGAGTCCCCTTTGCTCCGTCTGTCCGTCCTGTCCCTGCAGATTTGAGGTGGTGTGTCAGCTGATGTGATGGTTCCCTCCAGCTGCTGTCTGCCAAGTGCATCTTGATTCCTCTCATGCGCCGAGCTCCCTCCACCTCTGCCTGTGCATGTCACTCCCAGACTCTTTAACTCTATCATGTCCTTACTCAGTGCACCCCTCTTATCTCATCAACACCCATCCTCACCCCATCGCCTCCGGCACAAGCCTGTCAAGCAGCGTTCATCTATTTGTACAGGGCCAGCCTTTAATGCTTTTTGTAGTTGAATGAACTATTCAGAATTGTAAGAAAAGATAGAAATAAAAAGGCCATCTAATTCTAGATTTAAGATCTGCACATCTGCATACTTAGATTTTTTTTTCCTTTAGGTTAATTTCCTTGTATTGAAATTTGAATTTGATGTGTGGATTGGCCAGTCGATATTGCCTGTGTCTTCTCATACTCCAGAGAACATACTCTATGTTCTGAATGTTAGCTGAAATGGGGGTATGGAATCACGCATGACTTTGGTACATTTTGGTGTGGGTCATTTTTAGACTCAATCACGAACACTGACTCCAGTCTACTATGGTCCAGTTTTGCCCAAGCTTGTGTGATCTTTCACGGCTGGAGTTTGACGCCTTCTCCAGTAGTTGGAAGTGGGGTTTCCTGGATCTTAGATCTCACCTCAAAAAGATGACCCAGATAATACAATTTGGAAAATATATGAAAATTTATCTACAGTATGTATATATATACTGTAGATTGTCATACATGTGCTTTTTTACAAGCCTAAATTAGTTTCTCGTCTGGGGTGGCTCATCTAACTGGAGCCCAGTCTTACAGAATAAGCTTCTGATCCTGAAGACACAAACCTATTTTGATTTAGAGATCCAGAAGAACCAGGGGAAATGAGTGGTCCTTAATTGCGAACAGAGAAGATGCAAAGTTAGATTATCTCAACGGTGTTGTTCTTCATTCAGGTTTCTTTTTTTGTCAAGAAACAAACAAAGATTATCAATCATTGGCTTTTGACGGGCCTTACCAGGGTTACAATAGAGGAGAAACATGCTTATATGACACAGATACGTAGTTAGACAGTTCCATCCTTACAAGCATCAAGAAATACACCATTCTAAAAGGTACACCACTAATAACATGTTTAGCTCAGACAGATGTGTGGTCATGTGGTCGCTCCAGAAAGTCAACTGGCGCAAGAAATTGTATGGAACTCCTGCTGACAGTTTATTTTTAAATACTGTATATTCAAAAGTTCCGTAAATCCGGTCTATACGCATCATGTGTCAAATGCTTCCATGCTGAATATTTAAAAAATCCTGGCCGTGCATTTTTCCCTCCTGAACTGATCAAAGGGGTCTGGGAAGATTTCATGAAGGACGATGGCAGCAGAGGGGCGGTGGATGTAAACAGATTTAGATCTGGGCGCACAGATGGGAGAGGGACCGAGAGGGACGTATGAATATTACCCGATTTAGACTCAGCAGGAGCGGTGAGAAAATCTTTTGGAACGCCTCCCTGATGTTCCAAACCTACTCAAGGAGTGAATACCCTTTTCATTCGAACAGATAATGGCTAAACCAGTAAAGCACACAGCACTAGGAGCGTGTTTCAGAGTATAATGGCAATAATAGCTATTCTTTGCATTCCTCTGTGTTTATGTCCGGGCGAAGAGTCTCTTTACACAACTTAAGCCCTTTTTACTACGAACTTTTGGTTTTGAGTGAGTATATTGTTTTGAATGGCATGCAATACGTCAGTCACTTAAAGACAAATCTACGCACAAAACAAATAAACCTGAACTAATTAGTACGTTTTTTTTTTATTTATATACCGCCTTTTCACTGCAGATCTGAGTCTCAAAGCGGTTTACAATTGTTAATTTAGGGCATTTGTCTCTCACTCCACACAGAGATGGGAGCAGGGTCGCCAGTACAGGAGGCGCATGCCAGAACTATTGGACATATTTTTAGTGGTAGGGGAAACCGGAGTACCCGGAGGAAACCTACGCAGACACGGGGAGAACATGCAAACTCCACTCAGAAAGGCCCTGGTCCGACCGGGATTCGAACCCAGGACCTTCTTGCTGAAAGGCGAGAGTGCTATCCACTCAGCCACCGTGCCGTCTGCTGAACACTAATGTGTTCAGCAGACTCTCCTATCCTTTGACAGGAGAGTCGGCTGAGATGAGACATCAGCTATTTGTCATACGGCTAGATTTGTTTAATGCTACACTGTAGAACATTGCAGACAAAGCATAAGTGGTCAGAGAAGTGTTTTTTTAATTGGAGGGGAGACTGGAGAACATGAAGGACACTTACACAGCTACAGATAGGACATGGTAAAACTCCACTCAGAAGGCTCCTGGTTAACTGATAAATTGGTAGGGTTGTATACATGCGTTCTCCTCGTTGAGCACAAATGTATTATTCCATCATGGTGTGCACTTTCTCACAAACCGTATAGAGACGATTCCATTTGTAGCCAATGACAATAAGAACATTTTTTTCAACTGAAAACTTCAAGGTCCACAGCCAGTGCTCTGCTGGAGAGTAACTGTTCACTCCGGCCAAATGCGTTTTATTCTATGTACACAAACACCACGAGTGAGATCTTTAGAGTGTGCCGTTGTGATATGTATTGAAGAGGACTGTGGTTAATCAAAAGAGCATCTCCATAAAGCTTCACTCCCTGGTTTGGGGAATGCAGGGGAGTAATGGTGGGCCAAAGCAGCCTCAGTGTGAGATATTAGATGAGGAATTGTGCGTGACAGGCTGCATACCTCCGACATCTCGGCGAGGTCGGGCCCAGGGAAACAAACAGTTTTGTTTGTCCTTTGTGTTTACTGGAGGAGAGCCAACCACCCACAATACACCACCAAACACTAAGGCTGATTACAGGCACCTAACTGCTCCAGGGATATTCATTAAAGACCTTTTCAAGGCTAAGCAGCCAACAATTAAAATGTCCTCTCCAATATTCAAAGGCATTGTCTGTAGTTGGATGAGTATTAGTTGGTTTATTTAAATAATAATGAGTTGTTAAATCTTGTCTTGTCTTCCATTTAAGACACTAACAATCTGCAGTTTTACTTCAAGATGACTATTGAGAGCGTGCAGAGAAAATGTGCAGCATAACTATTTGTACTGACCAGTGCAGTGCAGAATATCTTTTTTTCTGGTTTAAAAACAAAACCCCTGTTACCAAAGGGACAAACTCTCCACAATAAGAGCAAAGTATCAAATTATCAACAACAATATGTTATGAAAGTTCGTTCCTCACCGTTTGTTGTTTTCCACACCCAACCTGTAGCTTGGGAACTATCACTAGCTCGCCAACTCCTTTCAGATACCGCTGCAAAGGGTTAAATTATAAACAACATTTACCCATTAAATATACATCATAAATATAAATGTGGGGCGACAGTGGCTCAGTTGGTAGAGCATTGGCCTTTGGGCCTGGAGGTCATGGGTTTGATCCCCCCACAAGACCTACGACAACTGCTTCCACTAATGTCTGCTGTTGTTGTGTCCCTGGGCAAGACACTTAACCCCACATTGCCTGAAGCCCCCGCTGAAACACAAAGGCTGTATGACCGCTGACGGAGCAGCGGCCATCTTCCCGTGGACCCACCACCTGCAGGAGGATCAGCGAGGGACTGGTGCTATGAGACTTGGGTGGCAGCTCTGATTGCCACCCCCCCGACCCAGAAATGAATTAATAAAGGGGTAGAAAATTGATGAAATATACATTTTTTCATTCTTGTAGGGTTATACAGCATCATGGTAGATTTGATATGTGTTTTCTCCGTGATTTGCCATGGTCATTGTAAAGATGACAATTTTAATATACTGTAACTGCAAAAAGAAGTAGCTCTCTGCCATTTCTGTTGTGTAAAAGTATCTCCCAAATGGAAAAAAGGACCCCAGAACTGCACAGATGTGGCTCATGGGTATCTTTAGTGTGCTAGCTGTGTGCTTAACAATGAATGATGAAATCATGAGCTTCAGCTTAATAATGTGTTAATGATGGGAGCTGTATTACTCCAATGCTACAAGAATTACTCCATCCTTGAGTTTTAAATGGAATGATGGTGGGTGTGGCTGGTACTGTTTGTGCAGTAAATTAGACTCAACTTTAAGCAGCTCAATTAACAGTGTGTTTCCTCTGCGATGGCACAGTGGTGTGTGACAGCCGCCCACGTGCCAACAGATTATGAAGAGTTGACGTGACACGGTGCCACTAATCAACACTTGGCACTCAACTCTGCCTGGGTGAAGGTCTGAAGTCTGTGCTGACAAAACACTGCTCTCTCAGGTGTCATTTGACAGTCTAAGTGGCTTACGCTGCCGCTCCTGTTCCCTAATGAGCTTAATAAGATTGAATCCCTGTACAACACCCCATACCAGTCCCTCTTTCAACCGTCTCAATTAAAATGGGGGATTGGACATCGTACTGGGCCACCATGCATTTAATTAAACTTTTATGCATGTATGGTACAGTATATTAAAACATCCCCTCACACAAAACTAGGAGCAAGTGAGTGCACCAGCTCAACCCCGGCAGAGAGTATGATAAATGTCAAAACTGTCACGAAGCATTCATCACATTAGCCCGAGCCTCAGTCCATAAGATATTGATCCAAATGCACTGCTGACAATGAAGGCGGGTGAGTGAAAAACATATTGTGATATAAAGTGTGGTGGATCATGGGATTAGCCGAGTGTTTGGACACGGCCAAAGTATCGATTTGCGGTCTTTGAGGTATTTCATATAATATTCTATAAACATTCATTGCTGTTCCAGGATACAACTTAGACAAGCTAATTCACTCACACCATAACTACACCATCCTCTGTCCATACTGTAATGTGTAATCATACTGTCTTTTAATGTTCTTGTTTTGTAAAGTGACCCTGAGTATCTACAAAGGTGCCTAAGAAATAAAATGTATTTTTAGTATTATTCATTCATTCATTCATTCATTCATTTTCAAGCCCTTTATTGTCCATTTCTGGGTCGGGGGGGTGGCAACGAGAGCTGCCACCCAATGCTCATAGCACAAGTCCCTCGCTGATCTTCTGCAGGGGGTGAGTCTACAGGAAGATGGCTGCTCTGTCAGCGGTGAAACAGCCTTGGTCT